ATATATATATATATATATATATATATACGTGTATACATGTGTACGTAAACAAACGTTCATTATTGTCCTATATATTTAAGACAAATAATTTAACATATGTTTGGATAGAATTTAAAAGATGTCACATTCAAAAAACACAACCACTTGCATTCGATAAAATTATATAACCCGTTAACATCCCGAGAAATTTATACGTAAATTAAAAAAACAAAAAAAAATGAAACTTATAGAAAAATTCTCACCTTTTTATTTTTATTCATTGTAATATATACTTTCTAACTGCTAACTTCTAACTAACACAATATTAATTAAATATTTAAGTATACGAAGATATGTTTGAAAATATTCGACAATCTTCGGTAATAATTAACGTTCATTAATGTCGATAAGATTGTTACCTTCCTTATCGATGCGACGATCATTTCGAAAAATAACTGTTACTTTTCTTTTTTTTTAATTATCGGAATGGATTTAATATACAAAGAGTGAAGATCTCCTCAGAAGATTATTTTTTTTTTTAAGATACAATTAATATGTGTATCTTTAAACGTATTCGAAAAAAGAATATGTTGATTTACAAATACAACATTTAATGTACGAACTTAATAAGAGAAGTTTCATTAAAACGAAATACGGTGCATAAAGATAAAAAGAAATTGAAATAGAAAAGGTGAATTATTTAAAAGGTGATACGTCCACAAACAAATTAGTCATTTGTTGAACGTTGTAATTAATCTTAGATAAGATTTATTTTCGAAAATATAACTCCCTAAATATTTTAAATATTAAATTTGGTCATTAGAAAAAACATGAAGGGTCCAAGATTGAAAACTTGTTCGATCAAGATTATACAATGTTTTGTTTGGTTTAATTATTATCCGGTTTGGTTAAATTATAAATTTAATTTTCTAATTAAATTATTGATATAGAAATAATTTTTTTTTATCAATTTGAGGTTAAGATATTTAAATATATGTATAAAGAGTAAATCCTATCAAAATTAACACTGATGGTGTAGCCATATATGTTAATTTATATTTCAAATTATAAAATAAAAAAAAAAAACAAATATTGTTCTTATAAATAAAACAATATGAATTTGTAAAGATTGAAAATACTTTTTTAACAAATTGTCTTAAATACGATGAAACGTTTTTTTTTTTTTCTATTTCTGTACCCTTCATGTAAAAACCTACAGTCATATTTATATTAAGCATAAAAATAAATTCGATGTTTTTTAATCGTAACTATAATAATTGCTTTAGTAAAAGATCAAGAAAATGTTAAAATAAATAAAATAAGTCAAATTTTTATACTTTAATCAAATTATTTGAAAATGTCAACAAAAGAACACTCACCTCCCAAGATTCTCTCGTTAATTCGGATATATCATCGCCATCTTGATTACGTGCCTTTCCCTCTTCGGTTGTTTCTCCACCTTCGCCGGATTCCTGCGGTGTCAATTCTGGAGATAAATCTGTGTCGGTGTCTGATAAAACATAACCACGTTCCCTCCAATAATTTTCATCGAGTTCACCGTAAAGGTTAGGCACCCAAGCGTGAATAAACCTATAAAGATCATCCACCCTACAAAAAAAGAAAAGAAATTTTTTTCATTAATCTATAACATAACATATTTTATAGTAATCAATAATAATTATATTAATTTTTAATTAATATTTAATAAATAATAATTGTGATAATTATGCAAATTTTTATACAAATATTGGTATCTTTCAGTAATTAATAATTATAACCTAAATTGATATTGATTTTTGTTTTCGATCATTGCAATCGATTATACGTAACATTAGAGAGATGAATATCAGATAATTAAAAAAAAAAAAAGAATTACATCATCATTAATTGAAAATATTAAATTACCTGTTGTAAATAAAAGGCATTGCCCTTCTTACAGTATTTTTTACTTGATTATTATAAATCGCATCGACGAAACCGCCCACGCTACTCAACATCCAACTCATTTTTTAATTTTATATTATATATATTCGTAAATATATAAACATAAATTCGCGAACGTTACGCGCATTAAAATTCCAGACGATTTACGCTAAAGTTTTCTATTGCATTCAAAATTTCAAAACAAAATGTATTAAATATAACAAAAAAATAATATAATCAATCTTCTTTCAAAATTATAAAATATCTCCTACGTAAAAGTATATTTTCGAAATAAAAATAAAAACAAACGAATGTGCCGATTATTATTTGATGTAACAAACGATCACTTATATATAATGGAAATAATTACTTAAAATTACGCGCCTCGTGAATCACGCGTGTCACATGATCAAAAGTTAACCTCTAAATACGTCAAAAAGTTATTGCGATGAGTTTATCATTATATTTTCACTTTGATTACCGAGAGAATACTAACGCACGATTTTTGATAACACATACAGGGGATACTACCAATTTAAACGATTTCTTTATTCGATCAATTGTTATTATTATTATTATTTGTATTTTACTTTTTTAAATCTTTTTTTTTATCCCGTTACCGTAATGTCGACCGATCTTAACACACAGCAGACAAAACTTCCGGAGAACTTAGGGAGAAACGTCAGACTATGTTCTAGGAATAACTAACAGCTTATTGGTGTATCGCTATGGTCACGTGACCTTAACGTTACTGATACAAAACGTGCACATGCACTTTCGAAGGTTACGCCACGTACATAATAAACTCTTATCTTCTTCGTATTCTTTTTTTTCTTTCTTTGATTATTTGTTAGAAATACGCATAACGCATTCTAATCAACGATACAATCATTTTACTTGCTTAAAAGTTTTACATTTTTGTTTTATTTATGTATTTAACACTAAATATATACCAGACCAGTCATTTTGACTGATCGGGCTATTTTAATTCAAAATTTCTACTTCATGTAACATTTGAATTCTTTAAATTATTAAGCGTTTTGTTATTTAAAAATGTCTACAAATCCATTTATCTATTAATATTATTATTGTTAAACATTTTTTGTTATTTTTTTAGGAATAAATAAAGACTGGAAGCTTCAAAAAGCATTTTTTTTATACACCAGTCATTTTGACTAGTGTGGTAGAAATAGGTATACCGAAAATGGTAATATATCTAGTGTTAATATCTTTTTCTTTCTTTTCAGTATACGTATTTTCTTTATTACCTTATTATTTTATTTTTGTTTTGTTTTAATATTATATTAGAAATTTAAAAATAATTTTGAGCTATTTTGATGTAATTTGATTGATTAATATTCATCACTCAATATGTATTTTCTTAATTGATTAATAGATTTAAATTATGATTTAAGCATGCTTTTTATATGCATACCTTGTATACCGATATGCATTTAGATAAATTTGAACAATTATAGATTATAGTAAAAATATATCATACCTATTACGTGGAACACTGAACCAATATTCAGGACGCAGTTTCTTCTTGCCATAACTCATAATAGGGGTAGATCGGGGTATTTTTTTATCTTTAGGTCTTCCAGTACGTAGTCTCAAATACAATGGTGGATCTTCACAAGATCGTGCTGGTCTTGGTATCAGTTCTGCATAATTGGAAGAAAAAAATATTTTCATTATAATTATAATATAAATAAACGTAATATTATTAAAAGATATAATTATAATAGCTTTTTTTTTTGTCTTTTCATTAAGAAAAATCCTTTCGAATATTAAAAATAAACAAATTTGTGTTATTTAGGATTATTTTATATACAATAGACGAGAAAGGTCCTCACACTTTTCTGTATGATAAAACAGTTAATGTTTCATCTTAAAAATAGCTATAAGAAAAATCAACACTGCGTAATCGAATAAAACGATTAATTTTAATAAACTGGTCCTCTCAGTATTAAGCTGAATATCTGTATAATAAGAAATACCACACTAAAAACGTTTCATAACTTTATAATTGTTTAGATATTTTTTTTTTCTTGTTTTTTTTTTTTTTTTTTTTTTTTAGATAGAGAAAGAGAGAGAGAAAAAAGAAAATGGAAAAAATAAGCACACTTTACAATAAAATATTGAATCATATTTAGAATAAATCCATGCACGAAATGTGTGAAGTATTATATCTAACACCAATAATTAAAAATATATAATATATATATATATATGAATATATATATATGTATATATGATAATTGAGATTCAATTTTGTTCACAGCTAATGAGAAATATTCATGTAAACTATGTAGTTTGATAAAACAACAATTATTACACGTAAACTAACAAAAAAAAAAAAAAAGAGATTATATATATAATATATCTGTGAAAATTAGAGACAAAATTCTTTATGTATACTGACTTTAATTTTATGTAAAATATCCTGTAACTGATAGAACAAACAGGCAAAGAACTACATGAAAATTAATGAAAACTAACAATAAGTCAAAAATATGAAATACATTTGTTCATATAAAACTTTCAGTTTCCAGAAATGTAAGTTCAGTCAAGTGCACGTGTGTGTACTCAACAAATCTGCAAACTTATTTTTCTCAAAAATAAAGCCTTGTATGAACAAATTGTATTCTACACTTTTAACTTATTGTTAGTTTTCTATGTAGAATCAACCTTTGCTCATTTGTATCTCTAGTTATAAGACACCTTGTATAACTCGATAAAGAGATATCGTATGATAGGGCAAATATCTAAATCAAGATAGTTCAAAAAATTGAAATAAAAACTGAAAAACGTATATATAGAGGAACAATACAACATCGATAATAAATTATATAGTATAAAGTAAGTGATCGGATATATTCTCAAATATACAATAGTGTGCACCTATAGGCAGCAAATTGGAAGGAAAATAGAAATGTAAATTTGAATGATGATCATTAAAAGAAAACTCAGCAAATAATAACATTTTCTTGCGTGGCAATATATAAAGGAGAAAATAATAATATAAAAATTAAGCTGAAATATAATGTTAAAGAAAAGAAAAATTATTAAAAATAGATGGTTGTAACACAAGAATAGGGACAGAGCAAGCTAATACAGTATGAACCTACCGAGGCCTTCAAGTTCAGGAAAATTAGGTGCTTGGACTAGAGGGACAACAAAAACATGTAACATTACTGCATTAGTATGAATATTTTGCTAATGAATGATGAAACCCGTCGTGCTAATGATAAAGTTACCAATCGGTATACATTCATGCATATTACTAACGATATGAATAACGTAGAAAAAACAATGTAATTCTCTCAGGAATAACTAATGTTATATAAGAAAAGTTAAAATACATTACATTGTATAATAACAATTATATGATCATAAAATGAACAGTTCATAATCGTCGTAAACATATAAAAATGGCACAAAGGGTTTCAAGATTCTCAGATAGATAATCAATGTTTCTTCTTATCGAAGAAAGAAAATTTTGCATTCCTAACACCTTTTTTTTTGTAATCTAATGAAAAAGCATTTTGCATAATGATAAATTTACAAGAATGTAGATTGTTTATAAATACCATTTATATATATATATATTGTTAGCTGTTAAATTAGATTTCGTAGTTACATTGTAAAGTAACTATTTCCTTTTATTCTTTTTTTTTAATTCTATCCATCTATCTAGTCATTGTAAAATGATTTTGTTAAATAACACAAGATTTAGTAACATGAGAATGTAATAGATAACATTAAAGTCTCATAACCCTTTTAAATTAGAAAAAGTAGAAATATAGAAGAAAAAGAAGAAGAAGAATAAGGACATAAAATTGTAACGCACTTAATTATATAATCTCCAACAAGACAAATGAGCATATTTCAAAACTATAATTTAAAACGTACTTTCAAAAATATAGAATATGAAAAACTACTTGATAATATAGAATGAAATAAGCGCATTTGGTTACTATACTGTCTATTTACATTATCTTTAAGATAGAAGTATTATTAGAATTTTTTTTGTTTTCAAGTTAAAATCGTACATATGAATATTTGTTTGTATCCAAAAGCGCCCTATGTTTATGCAAAGGGACACTAATAACATTAGCAACGTAACATTATCTAAAAAGCCGTCTAGCATATAACGAGCGAGTGCAGTGCGAAACACGTAGTTCCCGTTTGCCATTCTTACCGTTAAATGTATGTGTTTTTTTCTTATATCAAAGTTCTTACGAAAATTAGCCCAACTAGTATGGAATCGCGTAAATGAAAAAAGTTCGTCAGAGAAGGAAAAGTATCTATCTTATTGTAATGTGTTTTTTATAAGACTAATATCGTTATTCTTTCCGATAAGAATGTATAACTTCCAGACTTATATTTCATTTTAATCATAATGATACTTACTGTCAAAACTGACGAACAGCCCGGGCATATCTTCAACTGAGACCATACTGCGATAATCCAATCGTGGTGCTTGTGTCGTTGAAGTTTTACTTCCACGATTGCTGTCTACGCTGCTACTACCTGACGATGTTAGAGGTTGTTGTCTGATGAAAGTACCAACAGAAGAACGCCTGGAAAATAAATAAAGAATGAAACTACATTCAATAAAAGTTATATTTCTATTAAGACACATTACGAGTGTTAATTGAACGAATGTTTCTTTCTTTTCTTATTTAATCTATTTTTTTTTTTTTTTTAATTCAATGATAACATTCGAGAGACATCCTCGTAATGCTAAAATAATTTAAATAAATATAAATTTGACAACATTGACATAGAAAGGAAGGATCCAATACCAGTGTACGCTGTAAACTAACTTGGTGGCTATTTCAAGATATTCTATATGTAGTGTATATTAATACATTAAGCACAAAACTGATTTTGTTATATTTTCCATTCAAGAAATGATCACTTGTTGAGTATTGGACTACGACGTTGCCTAAAGAAAAATTTTACTGTCACTCGCTAAAGATCAATGCTGTGCTTAATGTGTTAATAATGTATCGTATTTGATTGTAAGCAGTTTGTTAAGCACTAATAATAATATAGCAAGCTGTATTTGATTATCTTGTAAAGTTTTGGAGATATGTTACACATTTACCTGAAAGCAGGAACCATCTGGGGGACCCTTAACCCCAGAAAGATATAAACAAATTTATAGATACGAAGGTAGAGGTTAAAGAAGTGTATGATACGATAAGCATAATATAATATATAAAGAGACATGTATATATATATAAAGGATTGTTAACAGAAAAATAAAAGAAAAATACCTTGTCGATAAATATAACAATATCGTTGAAGAATAATTGCAAAGATTTTTCAATACCAATACATAATACTATACATAATATTATAATAACATTCCACTCGAGTACACAAAAATAAAAATGTAATAAGAGTATCAGTAAGAGGTTAGAAATAACTAAGGAAATCACACATTTTGACAAACGAATAAAGGGACCAATGTATATTTTATACAATTATACGTGTGACGAGATCAGGGTCAAACTCACCCAATTAGGCCTCCTGGACCTGGTGAAAATTGAGAATTGCTGGAATCCTGGGAGAGATAGGAGGCGATAAGCGGAGGTGTTCCTCCAGCTCTACCGCCCCCACCACTCTCTTCGCTGGGAGTTTTAGCAAAGAGGCCCGAGCTAAAGTCACTCACCAGGTTGATTGGCGAGCTTTTACCACCACCATTACATATTGTTAGTAAAGTTAAACAATCAAAAAAGTTTCCAACGAATAATATTGAAATTGATCATTCATATTAAAATTAATTAAAAATTTAATTAGAAAATTAAGAAATAATTTTGTATGGAAGAATAATCAGTTTCAAAACGTTAGGAATACTTTTTTTTTATGACAATTAAAAGTTGTTAGTAATGCAATTGCTCTACTGAGAACTCTTATTCCTTTGCTTATATTCAGATATGTGTATTATCCCCATTTTTTTCTTTCTTTTTTGGTTATATTCTATTTATTAGTAAATATATTTTCATAGTGCTTGTTAGAAATGCAGGAAGCCACTCTCTCTCTCTATGCGTTAGTTACTACTAATTAATTCTATTTTATAATACCTGAGGATATTCACGTTATATATTTGTTTTGTATCCAAAATTTAACGTAGTTAATTCTTTATCGTATAATTTAAATAAGATAAAATATTAAAAATATATATCTATGTAGTTTGAAATGACATAACCTCCAACGAATAACCTCAAGTATATTCTACGCTTTCTAGAAATTTGCGAAGAAGCAATCACACGCGATTGTAAAGAAAAGTTAGAACATACAAGACAGATTTCAGCGTTCCAATTTATCAATCCTGTTTGAAATATATCTGTTCGAATTTTACACAATCCTAAGACAGCTGAATACGATAATAAGTAACATAAGCATATATAATATACAGAATTTCCTGTAATTGGTAGTAGACAGCGAGCAGAGGATAATTATGCATGAAAAATTAAGTCAAAAATGTAATTCAGCTCGATGAATATTGCTATTTTACTCCGGGATTGTTTGGAAAATAGTTTTCATATAACTTTTATATTAATTCTACTTTTATGCTTATCGAACAAGGTTTTTTAGTTTCCAGGCTTGCAAGCTCAGTCAAGTGTATGTGTTAATTCAATTTAATTTTTCATGTAAAATCACTCTTTGCTCACTTGTATCATCACTTACAAGACATCTTGTATATATTAAAATTTATGAAGATTATGTTATAATAATAATTGGAAAAACAAGACGCTGACTAATAAAAATAAATAATTAGAGAAAAGATAAAATATAATATAAAAATAAGTTTACCTTGAGAAAACTTTACTGAAGACAGATGAATGATGTGAATCAGCACTATTCGGCAAGCTTGAAACTCTATCAGAAACAGATTTGCTTTCATCTTCTCTGTCACCGGTAAGTCCTTCCATTCCAACCCATGACAATGGATAAGACAATCGTTTTAACATCTAAAAAGAAAAATATATAAATATATGCAAATACTATATAAATATATACAAATATAAATAAAGAATCATATTTACAAATTTATAAATCAACGGTTTTTCCTTTTTAAATACCTTGTTTTTTCTAGATTCTTGTTTATCATCATCCTTATGTTCCTCATCCTTCTCAGGTTCTTCGTTATTACTATCTAAACTAAATGATACCGAACTAGCTTTCTTTCTACCATTGATGGTAGGACCGCTATCTAACGAACTTGTTGTGATATTAGTTGGAGCTATTGTTATCGGTGGAACCCAATCGGAAGATAAAACAATATCCGCATCTGAATATACTTTTTTTGCTGGCATAGGTTGAACAATAGGAAGCGGTGGGTTGGGATCACGTATGTCTATGCCAGAATCATGACAAGACATTTTGACTAGAGATCCTTCCTCGTCTTCAGGAATGGCATTAGATTTTGCTGATTCTGTCTGTTATAATAATAGATAATTATTTTGATGTAATTAAATGAGAACTTTTAGTTAACACAAAATAATATTTTATATATAATCTTTACCTTGTCAGAATTCAAAGAATCTTGTTGTTCATCGTCGACCGAAAATGTACTTCGATCCTTGCTAGGAACTGCCCAATGATGATCTAACATCGATCTCCTACGTTCTTCTAACGTTCTACTCCCTTGACCACCAACGCATGGTTCTTTTACAATATTCTCCTTTTCTTCTTTTTCTTCCTTCTCTTTAATTGGCGCTACATTATCCTCCTAATAAATAAAATTATTGTTTGTTAATTAATATAATTCATAGATCAAACAACATGTAATTCATTTAATTCATTTACGTACATTTTGAAGATTGGTAGGTGTTACAAGTTCTCTATCAAAAGCTTTTGGAAAAGCATCCCCTTCTCTTTCTGCACAACTGCATACACTTTCATTGTCATCAGCTGCCAATTCAGGAAAAGTTTCATCTTTGCCTGGTGATTGAGATTTTTGACTATCCGCTTGAGAAGGCTTATTCATGTAATATATATCAGGTTTCTTCTCCAAAGTGCCAGATTTTGCATGTCCCACTCTCATATGAGCAATATCGTAATATATTGCAGCATTAACTACAAATTCCATAGGAGCGATAACCCCATAAGATTCAGCACCATGTTCAATGACAAGAGGATCCGAGACATTTGGATCAAACATAACTGCATTTGGTGTAACCAATAATACGCCGCCTACCACACCCTAAAAATTATAAAACAAATTATTTTAACATTGAATTAATTTATTTCAATCATTTATATATCATTGAAAAATATATTTCTAATTAATTATAAATGAAGTAAATAAATTACCTGTCCATCTGTAATATGACGTACGTTGATCTTCAAAAATCTTTCTTTAAATGGTTGCTCGTCATCTTCCATAACAGCATTTCCACTCCCAAGGGGAGTCTTAACTCTTTCGATGTGGCCTGGTTTAGGTGATACAGGTCGTAAATTGTCTAATAGTTCTGTAAAATATACAAAATCACGTGAGAATACAAATAATTATTTATACGTGGTTGAATTGAAACATTTTCAAACTAACATAGAAATTGATTTTATTTTTGGTAATAAATTCACTTATATTTAGAAAAACAATTATCCCACCCTCGTATATATATTTTATATTTATATTTTTATTATATAAGTAATCTAAAGATAGAGTAACGTTATTTATAAGCTAGACAAATGTAATTAAAACAAATCATTTTCTAAGCTCTTGTTTTCCAATAGCAATTACAGTTTGTGTACAAAATGTGATTGTGCTATGTGTCTACATTATTGATCATTTATGATTGACCTATCTATCAATGGACGTAGAAACGTGATCGTACAGCCTGGAATAATATCGCGAAATTTATCAGAGATAAATCAAGCTACATTTTGCATTTACGTTAATACGATTTATTTTGAATATTAATGTCGGAGTTTTGAGCAAATACCTATCTAATGATTAATTAAACATAAAACTATGATTTATAAAGTACGATGAAAAACAACAATTAATTAATTGTAATTTATAAAAAATATTCATCTCATTTTTCAAAACTTCATCAAACATGATAGAAAATGGAAGTGGTAGGAAGATTACATTTACGTCAAATATTTTCATAGAGAGAAACCTTCTCATCGTGAAAATTGTTTTCAATCATAATAATGTTCTTAATGGGAAAACTATCAATCACATAGAGAGTTTTTTTTTTTAAATATCCGAGAATAATAATTTCGTGATTCGATTATCTTGAAAACAAATCTTTCTATGAACAAAAAGTTGCGATGAAAATTATACAAAAACGAGTGTAATACAAAAAAAAATAAAAGCCATGATTCGAAAATATGATCGTATGTATTTTTGTTTTTTTTATTTGAGCATAGTGAAAAACCACTTTTCAAATGATATCCACTCATTTTGAAACCTATATATATACCTACTATATTTTAATATATACAACAGATGACAAATGGTTCGGAATAGTGTCATAGATCATTTATTACGATGGTTCATAATGTTTAAAAGCATACGATGTTTTTGTAGTTGACGTATGTATATCGGAATACTGCGGCAATACGAAAAGATATTTCAAAATAAAATAAGAAATATAAAATAGAACGTATCATCGTTGAACCGTGAAATTTGAAATTGATGATGAAAAAGAAAAAAACCCGTTTTGAATTTTGAAATGGCTAGTATAACATGTGGAAAATATAAAATATAAAATATTTAATGATAACAAATGTTATTTAGAAATTTTTGTTGTTACWAGTTAATGGAGAATTTTGATAAAAAGATGAAATCAAAAGATGAATTTCTCATTCGTTAAATTTCGAAATGTAAAAGCTTTCGTATCATATTCGTGTACTTTGTTTTTATATAAATATTATAACAGTAAGGTATTAATATGCAATAGTGAACGTTCGTATTCTAAGATAACATCGAGTTCCAATTCTTTCTCAACATTTGGCTAAGTGAGCCACCGCGATTTACCTTGAGCTTTACGAAGACTATATAGAATCCTGTTACATTATTCATAATACGATAGTATCCATATTGAAAGAAAAAGAGAGTTTATATATTTTCATATGTATGTATATTATCATAATTAACAATAATATATTCGAAGGAATAGATAAAAGATAAATGACTTGTATTTAATATCAATCGAGTTTGATAATGATTTTGCTTTCTATTTTTTTTTTAATCAAAAATATTCTAATTTCTTTTACTTTCAAAATGAAGGAATCACTGTTGCACGTGATTTTTGTATTTAAAAAAAAAAAAATTACAAAAATAAATAAATTAATTAATTAATTTTATAAAATATTTATATTAAACAATAGAAAAGAAAACATAAATCGAATTCGATAAGATTTTGCTTTCTATTTTTTTAAATCAAAAATATTCTAATTTCTTTTACTTTCAAAATGGAGGGATTCTTTATCAGTGATTTTTGTATTTAAAAAAAAAAATACAAAAATAAATAAATTAATTATTTAATTTTATAAAATATTTATATTAAACAATAGAAAAGAAAACATAAATTAAGTTTAATAAGATTTTCTCGTTTTTATTTTTTTTAAAGCAAACACATTCTAATTTCTTTTACTTTCAAAATGGAAGGATTTTTTATTCGTGATTTTGTATTTCTTTAACAAAAATAAATTAATTAATTAATTTACAAAAAAAAAAATATGATATTAGACAATAGAAAATGAAACTTATAACATTTTCTTCGAGTTACTCAATATAAAAATAAAAAAAAAAATCAATATTCATAATTATTAAATAAAACATCGATAAACTTATATATCTATTCTTATTTGTAGTTTCAGACAAACAAATAAAAAAATAACAAAAAAAAAATAAGATCAAAATAAAAATAAAATAGAAACTTAGCAAATTATTTACTTGATTTTAATTAATTAATTTAAAAAAAATATATATATTATATTAAACAATAGAAAAGAGAACTAATAACATTTTCTTCGAATTATTCAAAATAAAAATAAAAGTAAAAAAAAAAAAAAATCAATACTCATAATTATTAAATAAAAAATCGGTAAACTGATAATATTTTCTTAAAACTTATTCTCTTATCTGTAGTTTTAAACAAACAAACCAATAAAAAAATTTAAGAATAAAAAAATAAAATAATATAGAAATAAACAGATAAAAAAAAGAAACTTAGCAAATTATTTACTTGATTTTAATTAATTAATTTCAATCCCCATAAAACAAAGAAATAAAGAACGAAATAAAGACAAAAAGAAATAAAGAAAAAACGAAAGAAAGGAAAAGAAAATAGATGAGACAATTTAGTACCTTTTTCTTCTGGTGGCAAATCGTCCTGTGAGTCATGATCCTGTGGAGGATCTGGACTGGGTGCGTCTGTTGTGGTACCGCCTTCAGGGCGGCCTCCTCCTTTGTTTGGAACCCATAATTGTTGTCCTGGATAGATGAAGGTACTACCAAGCCTGTTGAGTTTACTTAGCTCGGAGGGTGTGGTATCAAATCTGGCTGCCACTGACGTAAGCGTATCTCTGTCGCCCACCTATATATCACAACGAATAGAAAGAGAGAAAATTAGAAAGGAGAAAAGAGAGACAAAGAAAGACACATACACATATATATATATATATATGGATATAATTATGAAAGTGATCTAAATCATGTTTTATTTCAAAATATTACAAAAAAAAAACAACAATTTTTATAGATTTTAAATAAAATATTTTATTTTATGAGAATTTAGGGGGAGAGACGGACAGGAACAAAAACGGAAAGATCGAGGGCGAAGGGGTTAGGGGTAATTTGAGTATGGTTAGCGACACGGAGTTGGCGTGTTCGCCACCGGGGGGTAAGGAACGCACGAGAAGGGGGGAAGGAACGAAGGGGGTGCAAAGAAGGCGCAGAGAAGAACAGCTGGTGCACCCAGACAGATTGAGTAGGGGTGAATGGGAAAGAGAAAAAGAGGAAAGACGAAGGAGAAAGACAAACATCATGATACAAGGAATAGGACGAGCAGAGAGACTCTCGGCGTACGGAATTGAAACGATGATCCACCGTCAGGTAGGAATAAGACCGATCGTCAGGAAGTGGATATGGACGGAAGATGGTTTAGTGGCGACCYTGGGAGGGGGGAGAGACAAGGCAGCTGTAATGAAAAGGAACTACAGGAGAGGGGGGGGAATACTGAATATCACGGACGATTGGACCTGTAGGGAGAGACAGGTCCAATGTTGGATCGAAAGGATAGCGGAAGAAAGAAGAAAAGGGGGGGAGAGGGTACGAGCGGGATACCAGAAAATTGAAATAAATGGACAATGGTACTGGTGGAATGAGCTGAAGGGAGACTGGGAGGAGGAGTGTGGAAGGGTGAACGNTTTTATATTGTTAATACTAATAGCTAATATTATATTAGGGCATAATTAGAATTAAGTACATTGTAAAGGGGAACGAACATGTAGGGGGGGCCTTCGGGGTAAACACCCTAAAAGGGTATACCTGAAATAAACTTCTTATCTTATCTAAAATATTTTATTTTATATAATAAATATATATTTTTAGATATAATTAATTTTTTTTATTTTATTTTATTCAAACACTACATGAATTTTATATAATTTTATATAATATTTTTAATATATATTTTTTTGTATTATATTTAAACACTATATATATATATGAATTTTATATAAAAATACTAAATTCAATTTTATATAATAAATATTAATAAAATTGAAATAACAAACACTATTTAAACGTTTATTTTTAATAATATTGTGAAAATTATAATACATTGAATTAATTTAGTTTAAAATAATGCAATGTGAAATAACTGATATATAAATTAATTTTTTTACATTTTATTTTAACTTTTTTCGACCACTTTCATAATTATGGGTTCATATATATATATATATATCGAAACATAATATAATTCATATGTTTAAAGGACAAGTTTCCTTTGGCGGTTTATAAACCACAAACGCGCATAACACTTGCAACTAACTATGATTAGATACCCGAAACAACAACAACTATCTCAACTGAATTCTGACATAATCATTCATTTCTACGAAATAATATTATTTGTTATTTTTAATAATAATAATAATTATTGCCAGACTGCCATGTGAAACATTGTCTGCTACGCGTAATAATAATAACGTAAATCTAGATGGTAAAATGTGGTGATCCATCCTGTATAAAAATTTAAACACTGTGAGAAAACATTTGATCAATTGTTTGAGTCACTGTATATATTACGTGATTCAACGAATCACAGAAATAACACTAATAAATGTGTATTATCGGTTAGTTTTTTAACATATTTCTAAATTCCTTTTTTCTTTCTTTTTTTTTTTTTATTTCTCTTACCACACCTTCATCTCCTATTTTTCATTTTTTAGTATTAAAGTTCGAACGAACGTGTGTTCATTAGTTACTTCGATGATTTATCATTAAACTCTTTTTGCATGACAATGAAAGATGTCGGCTATAAATGACATAAAAAAAAAGGAAAAAAAAAAAACAAAGAGAAAAAAAGAAAAGAAAAGAAAAGAAAATAGCCGCGAGCTGTAGGACGAAGAACGAAGTATGGGTGAAAGGTGGGAGTGGGTGGGTAGGGTGGGGGGTGTAAGGAGAGTTAGAAAGAATGAAAGAAAAGAAAAAGGGGTTGATTTTAACGGAGAAAAATTAACGCACGACAAACCAAGGTTTTATTAATCAATAATCCCACACACGCACAAATACCATTCTCCTGTGAATGATCATCGATTCCGAGGAAATTATTATTATCAAACATTGAACATAAACAATCAATGTACGCGTGTGCGTCAGTCACACATAAATGAGAAATCAATGAACACACCAATATGTAAGCTGATTATTATTGATTCGCAGTTAACCCTTCCTTCATTAATTTCTTTTTCTTTTTTTCTTTCTCTCTCTCACACCCTGATAAGAGGGTTTACTGCAAATGTATTCACATTATTCCGATATTCCTCATCGTTGAACGTTCGAACATGTTTGATGTGCTTAACGTTCTCCTATACCCAGTTTCATTTTTGAATATTTCATTGAACCGTGAAATTAATTCGAACGATATATAGTCATTGTGAGAGATTGGTGAATTAGAATAGAGAATTTTCCTACGAGAATATTTTCCAACGAGATTTTCATTATTTTCTGATAAAATGTTCTTTTTATTATTATTTTTGTTTGTTTTTTTTTTGACTTTGACATAATAGAAGAAAACGTCGATGATATCAAATTAATTGAATTTTATTTTTAAATTCACTTAAATATCATCGTATATTAAATATATATATATATTTATAAAATATATAATATATAATTTATTAAATATATAATTATATTATATATTATATATGTTATTATATATATTTTTTAATATATATTTATATATTATATATTTTTATATATTATTATTATTATTTTATTGTTATTATTATTTTATTATTATTATTATTATTATTATTATTATTATTATTATTATATAATTTATATATTATATATTATTACGTATTTAATAATAATAATATATATATTATTTTATATAATAATATTATATATAATAATATTTTTCTTTAACAATAAAATATCTACTATACTTATTATTACCTATTATTTAAATAATATTCGTAAAATATATTAAATGTGATTCTGAGGTATACTGATATACAGTGATTTGGAAAACAAAAAAATAAAATACTTTTCCATTTCCCTCACCCCCGAGCTTAATTTTTATTTTACTTTTTTATTTTTTTATTTTTAAATCACAATATAATAAACCCATATTTGTTACTCGAGGAAGACATATATATGTATGTATGTATGTATATATATATATATATATGTGTGTGTGTGTGTGTGTAATATCGTAAAAAATTTATTCGAACAATTTTAGGTGAATTTTCTAGAAGACAAAATTCACGCATTTAAACTTTTTTTCTTTTCTTTTTTTTTTCTTTTTTTTTTTTTCCTCGAAATACATTTCTTCCGATTAAGGTCAAATGTTTGCTTCAATGATATCGATCCAAAGATAGAAAATAAAAGCTTTATGCCACATAAGATGTGCATGAAAAATATATCACGCGACCCCTCTCTCTAATGGATAAAACTTACTACTATTTCATCCTGTTACTATAAAATATAAATTATTACGTTGAAAGGTCGGTAAATCAGTTGGCTGTTTATGAAATCGAAAGGAAAAAAGTTTTACCAGCCAGTTTTCAACGAGATATATATATATAATATACTTTTACATACGTGCAGTATTTTCTTTTTCTCCCTGGTAATTCTCAAAGAAATTATAAAATAAATTAGAAAATTCAAAAAAGAAAAAGAAAAAAAAATAATGTTTCCTCTTGAGGTCACAAAAATAAATCAAATTAGTCAGGACGTATAAACACGTTCGTATTATTTTAATAATGTGGTGGTGAAGCGTAAGGATGTGCGTACGTAAAAAAAAATATTTTAGAATAATATTTAATAAATATTTTTATTATTATTATTATTATTCAAATAAAATATTTTATTTCATTTCACAAGGATTTACGATGTAATTAAAATTTAATTATAAATTTAAAATGAAATATTTTTGCTCGAATTTAATGAATAGAACGAAGGAACGAACGAACGAACGAACGGTGTATTAATAAAAAAATAAAATTAAAAAAAAAAAGGAGTAAAATCGATAAAGGAAGCAAATATTTCGCAAACAAATTGAATATATTCTTAATTTGATTTCATTTTCTCTTTTTTGGTCTTTTCCTTTTCCCTGTGAAATGCAAATGAAATTGTCGTGGGGTGAAAAGGGTGGGTTGGAGGGTGAAAAGGATATGTGCATTTCACGGAATTCGAGGAAATTCCTTGAGGGTATTCGGCTTGGTAGCCAGAGTATTCCATGTAAATCAATTAATTAACTTGAGAACGAACATGTGGTATGCGTGTGTATATCATACACGTATGTACAATAGGAAATACACGTATATATATTGTTGTATTATTTACAAATACGTGTGAAATAATCTATTAGATTCGAATCTTGCACAACGATTACTATCTTTCACCACTTTTATTCTTCTCTTTTCGATTAACACTAATTGCAAATTAGAAGAATGTTTTTTTTTTTTATTTTATTTTTTATTATACCCATTAGTTAAACATTCGTATTTTTTATCTGAAAATACATTAATCCCTTTGCATTCGAGAAAACTTTTCCGCATGTATTATCCCATAAATGGAATGCAATTTACGAAATATAACGTATCATTCTATTAGAGACCCCATCATATATTAATTTCCATATTTTTTATATATTTATTTGAATATTTATACAATATATCAATAAACAAAATATTATGATATTTAAATTTCGAATATTAAGAATTATACAAATTTTTGGATTTGAATAAAATGTATACAATGACGTAATAAAAGTATTCCAAGATAATCCTAGTATTTAATAATCACACTAATTTAAATAAATAAATAATAAGAAAAAAAAATTTCGGACATTGATTG